TTTGCAGCAACATCCAGAATTGGTGGGGAGGCGGGGGGAGAAAGGAAAGACGACAGAAAATATTTCAAACACTTTGAACAGCGGTGGGAGCGGACCGAGCTCGACAAATGCAATATTGCACACACGGCTGCAATGATTGCGAGGCAATTAGATACAAGATTCTGCACACTTTCTTTTTTAAAACGCAAAACAAAAACAAAAATCATTAAAACCAAGCAATTCTTCTCTTCCCGTTTTTTAAAAAAAATTTTTTTAAAAATCTCTTTTCACCTTCGCTTTTCTCCCGTCCCTTGCGAATCGCTGGGGGTTTAAAAGGTACAGAAGTCAGTCAGTAACTGAGTCGGTGGTGCGGATGGCGCTGTGCCTCGCAGAGTGCTCAAACATGCTCCGGGTTGAAGTTGGCAGGAGGTCGCCGGGCTTCTCCGACTCTCGGCTCTCTTGCTTGAGTTGGAGCTGCTACGAACTCCGAAGTCAGCCCCGGCCCTTTTGCAGCCCTTGTCACCAGCTCCGCCGCAACTTGGTAGCAGCGCAGCGCCTGAGCGACGCTTACCGCAACCAGTCAGCGACTTCCCCCTGCACTGTCTCTACCACCACCCCCTGCACCTCCTACCGCCAGCTCCGCTCACCAATCCATACTGCCCGCAGGCGGGTCTCACACATCCTTCATACCACCACTCCCCCCCCCCCCCCAAAAAAATAACCCATTGGCTCACCGACGTGGGAGGAGGAGGAGCTTGCCCTTCCAAGAGCAACCCCAAGAAAGATTGGTCTCGCAAGAAAGCTGGCAGTAGAAGCTGAGCAACGTTTTGGAAATACCTAAACCGAGCCCCGCTGCTACATGCATGTCAGAGATGAAGTGCAAATGTGCCTGCTCTCCGTGTCATTCTTGATTCAGATTTCACAGCTGACTCAAACCCACACATCTCCTCCCCAGCCCTCCACTTTCTCTCACCTATTTTACAGAGCCTGTTTGTGTCTGCAATGCTGTAGCACACCCGCCCAGCCAGTACTTCAACTAGAGATGATCTGCGATACAATTCCACTCATCAGCCCTCTCTGCTTTCTCTCTCTCTCTGCGCAGAGATTTTCTCTCTTTTTTGCCTCTCGATGCATGAAATGGTCTTCTGTCTCTTTTGTTTTACAGCTAAGAGCAAAGGGATTATGCACAAAATGTTAATTTGTCTGTCCTCTGCGCGCATACTAACGGAACAAGCTTTGTGTTTCCAGCACATTTAAAAAAAAATCCGACTTCCTGCGCATTTCTTTTTAACCTGATTTGTATAATGCTCGGAATAACGTTTCGTCAGTGTCTCACCCTTGGTGTGATGCAAGCAGAGGAAGAACACACTGACCCCCAAAAAACTATATGGTGTTTTTCACGTTCTGATGTTGTTCTGTAGCAATTCGCTGCCAGTTCACGACTTGTTGAAGCGCAGCCACCCCTCGTTGTAATACACACAACAGCCGATTTGCACGGCAACGTATCAAGGAATGTTTTAGTGATATTAATTTTGAAGGATATATTTTGGCCGGACCAACAGAGAGAATCGTAAACTTTGAATGTGGACATGCGATCTTTTACGCCCTTTTGAGAGATCAGATAAGATGTCAGTTTAACATCTGGTTCAAAAGCTCGGACAGTTCAATCCCTCCCGATTTCTCTGTTGCAGTTTCAGCGCAGATTAAGCGTACAAGTCTTTTAGTGAGTTCAAAACCACGGACTTCTGATTCGGGAGCGAATCGTGGTACTTGACTAGGGCTTCTAAATAGTCAGCTTTCGTAGTAGTCCATTGAATGATTACAGAGATAAAATTTTGAATTTGGCACTCTGAGGCAACATGCAGCACTGTTTATGTTTATGTTTGCATTTTCTTGTTTGGGTCAGGCTGTGGTCAAATGCAATTCCACCACTATCAAACTATTGGATAAAGTCATCCTTCAGCAAAAAGAGAAGGCAAACAATAAATAATTTGATGCATGTTGCATCAACTAAGTAATACATCAGCTCCCATGCCACATCATGGTTGGTTTCTATTCAAAATTTAGTACAAGGGGCCTTTCAAGTGAAGTAAGAGTGATCATATTAGATTGTAATTCTCAAATGTTCTTTTGTTGAAGGATCACTTTTCAGTTAGATTGGTAATTACAGAGCTATCAATCTAAATTATGAAGCTACATAATAAACATGATAGGAAAATGCAGCATGTAAAAGTGTTTTAATAAGCTGCAGCTTTAAAATCTGTTGCTTCTACTTCAACTACTGGCAACAGCAATCTGCAAAAATATGACTTAAAATATGCTTTGTCAGCTCCACTAAAAGGTCAGGAATCTCCCATATCACTCCAAAGCTGGAGAATAGTAGAAGATGGACATTCACATACTATGATCAATCAGCTTTCTGGCACCCACTACTTGGTGATATTTATGCCACTTTCGATGCTGATCTATGCACCATGATCTCCTAACTGATGTCGCTAAACCTGTCAGTGCTGCGAACATGCACATCACTTCTGCTTCCCAGTTTATACCAAAAACCTCCTCCAGACACTGCACATTGCTATTTGCCCATGCCTGGACAATGATTCAACCTGGAAGTCATTACAAACTGCACTGTTTGAAAAATGCAAAGACAATGGAGGCAGTGGTTAGCACTGCTGCCTCACAGCGACAGGGACCTGGGTTTGATTTTACTCTTGAGCGACTGTCTGTGTGGAGTTTGCACATTCTCCCCGTGTCTGTGTGGGTTTCCTCCGGATGCTCCGGTTTCCTCCCACAGTCCAAAGATGTGCAGGCTAGGTGGATTGGCCATGCTAAATTGCCCATAGTGTTCAGGGATGTGTAGATTAGGTGGGTTATAGGGGGATGCGTCTGGGTGGGATGCTCTGAGGGTTGGTGTGGACTTGTTGGGCCGAAGGGCCTGTTTCCACACTGTAGGGATTCTATAATAAATAATTTCTATATTCTGTGTTAACCATTATAAATCATTATGTAATTAATCTTATTCTAAAGTGATTGTGGTATTGCATCTTATTGTGATGGCTGAATGTCACTGTCACTGTTATAAAACATATTCAACAAAAGCCCAGCAAACATTATTAATTGTTTTGCAGACTCCTGGAAAGTCTCCACAGGTGCCCAGCAATCCGTGGATCCCAGCTGGTGAATCACTGGATGAGATTTTTGACAACATTTTAAGGTTTGTAACATCTCCATTATTAAGTAAACAAATATAATAATGATAAAATGCTACTCTATTGTAATTTGAAGAATGTGCTGTTGTCCTCTGATATTTCTTTTTCTACAAAAACACTTTTATTAGAAGGTTATACAAAACAAAGTATGCAAATCTGCATTTAGCATCATACCCAAATTTTAAACAACTGTCAATTTTAGAAGGAAATCATGCAAGAGCACAATAAAGCCAAGGGATGAAAAGGACCATTTTGTCCATTGAACAAATGCCCAGCAGACTGTGTAGAGCCATACAGCATGGAAACAGGCCTTCTGGTCCAAATCATCCATGCCGGTCAGTTTTGAAAACTAAACTAATCCCACTTGCCTGCATTTGGCCCATATCCCTCTAAGCCTTTCCTATTCATGTACCTGCCCAAATGTCTTTCAAATGTTGTAACTGTACCTGCTTCTACCATTTCCTCTGACAGTTCATTCCACACATGAGTAACCTTCTGTGTGGAAAAAAGTGCCCCTCAGGTCCCTTTTCAAACTTTCTCCTCTCACCTTAAAAATATGCCACCTAGTTTTGAACACCCCCACCCTAGGGAAAAGACCTTTGCTATTCACCTTATCTATGCTCCTCATGATTTTATAAACCTCTATTAGGTCATTTGTAACTCCTATGCTCCAGTGAAAAAAAACCCCCAAGCGAATCCAGCCTATCATTTTAACTCAAGCCGTCTAGTCCTGGTAACACCACTAAAAACACAGACTGCAGTGGTCACTCACAATTAATTACTCTTAAACTAGAATCTCTAAGAACAGAAAATGCTGAAACATCCCTGAAAAGAATCAATATAATTCAACCTCAACCAGTACAGTGAAGTGAATTTGGAAGCTTAATTGGTCAAATCAAAGTCACAGAATCTACATTGGTGAAAACACAAAATTGCATTGGATCTAGCATTCAAAGTTAAATATTCTTGAATCCTGAGTCATGGGTCACTCACCAGGCTCATATCCAACTCTGGGATAGTAGGAACTGCAGATGCTGGAGAATCCGAGACAACAAGGTGCAGGGCTAGATGAACACAGCAGGCCAAGCAGCATCATAGGAGCAGAGAGGCTGACGTTTCGGGCCCAGACCCTTCATCAGAAAAGCGGGAGGGGAAGGGGGTTTTGAAATAAATAGGGAGAGAGTGAGAGGCGGATAGAAGAGGGATAGAGGAGAGGATAGGTGGAGAGGAAACATTTCCCAAAATCCACAAACTTGAATGCCCTGGTCGACCCATTGTCTCCGCCTGCTCCTGCCCCACCGAACTGATCTCCAACTATCTAGACTCCATTTTCTCCCCCTTGGTCCAGGAACTCCCTACCTATGTCCATGACACCACCCACGCCCTCCACCTCCTCCAGAACTTCCAATTCCCCGGTCCCCAACACCTCATCTTTACCATGGACGTCCAGTCCCTCTACACCTGCATTCCCCATGCAGATGGCCTTAAGGCCCTCCGCTTCTTCCTGTCCCGCAGGCCCGA